GTGTGTCTTCCCGGAGCCGTACGTTTCGCCTGCTGAAATCACCCAGGCATTCTGGCTTAGGTGCCGCCTTTTCCTCTGCCCTCCGTGGTTTAAGCTTGTTACATCCATAACTTATCACCGGATTTGCAAACTGCACTTTGTGTTTTAAATAGAGCAAGCTATATGTATGGGAGGGAATGTTTGGAGTCAGTATTTGCGTTGCCACACTCCGTGGTTACCAGACGCTATAATAAAATCACTTGCATCAGAGGAAAGCTGACAACACATTTTAGCACTTCCATAGCCTTAACTTAATCATGGCAGGAAGCTTTCCTGCTGCTAGGAGAACATGTTGCGTCACCAGAACATCTGACACTGGTGTCTAATGTCAATCACTTTGCTTAAGGTCATTAAAAATATTAGGGTGTCCCCTTACGATGTACAGGTTTTGCATGAGTGACAATTCATGGGAAATGCATAGCATGATAAATAATGGAACAGGTGGACTAAAGTGGTGTCTTTCCTGTTTAAAATGAGAAAAGTGATTGACATTAGCAAAGCTGGATAAGCTAAATAGGGCTGTTGATTTTTTTTTTCCCCTGGGAACACAACAGTTTTTCTGACTCCTTCTTTGCCCTCCCCATTTCTTTTTCCTCAGTGGAATTTTGCAGGCTGCCGAGGAGAGAATTGCAGGGGCTGTAGAGATGCAGTGATTTCCACTACATATGTGTAGCAGCTCAGCCCCATGATTCCCAGGCTGAGCCCAGAGCAGAAGCAGCCTGTTGCCCTCTTCAGAAGTCTTTCCCATACATGGGTCCTCCCTTCGCCATTGCTGTGATACGGGCGAGCTTGCGTGCAGTGCGTGGAAGGAAAGTAGAGGTACAACGTGAGGCTCTGCTCCAAGTCAAAAGAAAAGGCCAAACTCAGTGGAATGGAGGCAATGGGTTTTTGGGAGCAGTTTTTTCAGGAAGGGTAAATAAGAGTGAGTAAGAGTCGCTCTGCTGCTACTAGAGATTCCCTTTCCCTTATCTCTGCTCTCTTTTATATTTGCACTGCATATACAAGGACACAGCGGAGCGCCTGCACGACACTCTGCCTTGCTGATTGTGGGGCATCTTGGCATTAAGCAGCATGTAAGCGGTGACAGACAGCATTGCAACGACCCTAGGCATGATCCCCTAGCATAGCAAAGCTTCAGATACAACATGGTAGTACCAGCTAACTGACAGGTTGAGAGGCCTCTGGGTAATATGGGGCTTGCATAGCACACACTGCTGAGCTCAGTAGCATTGGCTGTACCCTAGTGAGACAAGGTACATGCACAAGCATCTTCATATCAAGCAGTGAGTGAAAGTCTGCGCAGGAATTCACTCTTGTTTGTCCTTTATTCAGAGAAGCAAAATAGTAACTTTATGGGGAAGAATCCCAGCACCTGGTCCTGGTGTCCTGCAGGAGCAAGGCAGAGGTTGTGAACAGTTTAGTCAGAGACCTCATGCTGTTGAAGATGTTTTCACATGTTTCATCACTAATTGCCACATGGCCTTAGAAACTGGTACAGACTTCTCCACCATAATTTGTGGGCATTGATTTTGGGACAATCTGAAGTAGTAGTAGCATCTTTTCTGAATGACCAATGATGACATCCAACACAAGTCTCACAATCTATGTTTTTTCGTCCTGCAAATCTACATATTACAGACATTTTCATTACTATTCTCTCTCTCCCTGCACCCCTTGTCCTGGTTCCAACACAGCAGCAATGCATTCTTTCTAGCCCTTAAAAAACAATCATTCTGGGAGAGGTGCTATGTGAGTACAGTGTGGCAGGCTTAGCACCTTCATTTTTCCAGAAACTGGTGATATTGTTAGATCTGAAATGTTTTTTACAAGGGCACATTTACAATGCTTTTACAAGGATCAACCCCCTCAAACTGGTCAGCTACAAACAGCAAAATTTCTGCTTCAGCTTTTGAACCCCATGACCTAATCTGGATTGATTTGGGGTTTCATGCCTGGATGCTGGGTCATGCAATCCACCAAGTCTTTGATACAAAGCCATTTGGAACTCCACGGTTGCTGTTTGGTGTTTCTCATGGGAACCTGAGAGGCAAAAGTCAGCCCGGAGGATGCAACCCTGTGGAGATCACAATGACTTTCCAGTTCAGAAGCACCTTCCCTTCTGGTGTGAAAAGGCTTTGAATGTGACAAATGGTATTTCGGTTCTGGGAGAGGTTGGGTGGGAGCTGATGCAAATTTTATTGTCACAATTGCTTGTCTCTCCCTTCCTGAAAGCTCTGGCAGCATTGCGCAAGCAAAATTGCCCTCACAAGGATAGAAAATTATCTAATAGGGGAATTGCGCTGGTGCACTGGGCAAATGTTACGGGGATCTTAAATAATAATTTCAAAACCTAAGCACAGGAAATTGTGTCTGTAACTACACCCTGTATTGCTATTGTACACAAAGCCAGTTATAGCCTGGGACAGTATTTTAAAATAATAATCAGTTTGGTATGACAATGCTTAGTATTTGTTCAAGTCAAAACGCCCAATTTACGATTCCCCAGTCACTTAACATGTCAGGTTTTGTACGTGACTGTGGTTCTAATACCATAATTTGCCAGGTTTAAAAAAAGAAAAGAAAAAGAGAGAGGGAGAAAGGTTAGTTTCGTGGACTTGTGTCAAGAATTAAGTTTCTCTGCCTTGGACACTTGGGAGAGCTCCTGTTACCAAACAACAAATGTACAATATTACTGCAGCTCTACAGAATAGGAACCAGGCTCAGAGTATGGAATGAAGAAAGGCCTGAGAGTCTCATCAGGATCCAGAAGGGTCAGGCCAGGAACAAACCCTCTGGAATCTCCCGTATTCTTGCCTCAGCTTTGCTTATCCAGAGTCAAAGTCCAAGGCTACTGCTCCTTTAATATCTGAGATGGAGGGTGCTGCATATTATTAGCAGGTTTCAGCTAATTTGTTTTTACAGTGGGCTCCAAAATAAGAAAAGCAGAACAATATTGGCAGCCATCATTTTGCATTATGTATTTCCAATACCTCTGATGCCTTTAGATTGTAGGACATTTTAGCTATATCAGTATAAATCTTTGTCAATTACAAAGGGCTTTTATATGTAAAATTTCATTAACATATCAAGAATTGCACTGTATGATGTGAAAAATTGTATAAATCCTGGCAAAACTCTATGTGTAGACTAAATCTTACAGGCTAAACCATATGGGAGAACAATGGTCTTAAACTGCAGAATCAACTTGAATTTTTGGCTTTTATTCAGGTTGTTGATGTCACTATTAACATGACAGAGGACCTAATCCTTCCTCTTGTGAGCAGCCAGTTGGAGTCCTATTGTCCTAACTCATGCATCCAAAAATTTGCATTTGTGGCAAACATGGCATTTTTGAAAAACACTTTTTTTGGATTGATTGCTTTCACTTCTTAACTCTTCTGTGCTTTCTAGAGTAAGAGAAAAAAGTATTAAACTTTAAAAACAGAGAGGAAAAGAGGAAAGAAAGAGAAGAACACACAACAGCAAATGTTGGACACTGCATAAAGTCATGGAGCTTTACACAAGTGCCTTGTTGAAAGACAGAGACTTTTAAAAATATGTAAGTCTTGTTTCTGGTACATCCTTGGCTGTATCCTCAGTTTCATTCCTATAAAATGCCTGAAGTCTCCAGGTTAACATCAGTCTTAGATGTCACTTCATATTCTTCTTTTCTCTTTCCCAGGAACCAGTTAGCTCAGCAAAAGGCAGAAGTTTAATTACTTACCATCTTTTGCAGTCTGACTGGAATTAAAATCGCC